ACTGTTCTGTACCTTATTGGGCAAATGAAATGAAATTTTATGCTCTACTGTTCTGTACCTTATTGGGCAAATGAAATGAAATGAAGTTTTATGCTGTACTGTTCTGTACCTTATTGGGCAAATTAAATTAAATGAGGTTTTATGCCCTACTGTTCTGTACCTTATTGGGCAAATGAAATGAAATGAAGTTCTATGCTCTACAGTTCTGTATCTTATTGGTCAAATGAAATGAAATGAAGTTTTATGCTCCTACTGTTCTGTACCTTATTGGGCAAATGAAATGAAATGAAGTTTTATGCTGTACTGTTCTGTACCTTATTGGGCAAATGAAATGAAATGAAGTTTTATGCCCTACTGTTCTGTACCTTATTGGGCAAATGAAATGAAATGAAGTTTTATGCCCTACTGTTCTGTATCTTATTGGGCAAATGAAATGAAATGAAGTTTTATGCCCTACTGTTCTGTACCTTATTGGGCAAATGAAATGAAATGAAGTTTAATGCTATACTGTTTTGTACCTTAATGGACCATTGCAATAAATTATACTTCATACCTTATTGGCCTGAAATGAAATTGGGTTATACCTCATACCTTACCGGCTGAAACGATTTGGGGCTTAACTTCCTACTGGCTGTTACAGCTATCTTGAGATTTACATCCTACTGTTCTATTCTGATTCGGCATATGACACGAGATTAACTTCCTACTGTTCTGTATTTTAATGGACTAATGAAAATCGGGATTCACACCTCTCTGTAATGAAATTCCTGATTGGAATAAAAAATAGTTAAAGTTAAAAACTGGGATGAAAATACTTAAGGTTTTTCTGGAAATCGGAGAAAAGGAGTAAGTTAATGTCTCACCTTGCCTTAAAGTGTCTTTCCATTGAACAAATCGGCATAAACAGGGCGTAAAAAAATCATATCATTTCAATAGAGTTTAAGGATAAAACGAATATTGCCTCTAAGGTCTTCCGTACAACAGAATATCAATACCAGTGATAACAGAACCAAGACTGGAAAATGAGACAAAACGAGAAATTAATTAGCGTTCTGTAAGATATTGGGAGGGTAATATAGACAAATTACAGTCATGTAGACAACTTTTATCCGATTTCTTAAGTGTCGTACTCGATGACCATGCCATTCATACAATTTCAATGTTAACTCATTATGTCTGTGTTCTTTTGGGCCGAGATAGGGCGTACAACGCCATGAGGAAAATGCATCCAGGAAAATGTAAATTTCGAGAGATCTTCGCCTAAACATGAACTTTTAAATGCTCTCTGTTTACTCCAATTACTCGTTTTATTTTCATTCCAATTGCCATTTCATGTTAATTCCAATTACTCACTATTGACCCCACTTTCTGTTCATTTCAATTACTATTTCCTTATTCCAATTACCAAGTCTTCATTTCAATTACTCTCTATTCATTTCGATTACTCTCTATTCATTTCAATTACTCCCTGTTCATTTCAATTACTCTTTATTCATTTCGATTACTCTCTATTCATTTCAATTACTCCCTGTTCATTTCAATTACTCTTTATTCATTTCAATTACTCTCTATTCATTTCAATTACTCTCTGTTCATTTTAATTACTCTCTGTTCAATTCAATTACTCTCTATTTATTTCAATTACCCTCTATTTATTTCAGTAACCATTCTATTCGCATTCCATTTACTCACAGAATAATCCAATTACCTACTTAACATTTCAATTACTACCTGTTCACATCACTCTATATTTTTTCTGTTTCCTTTCTATACATTCCAATTACCATCTGTTTATTCGAATCAATCTAGGATTCATTTCAATTACTCTAGGGTTCATTCCTGTTACTCTGTTAATTCCAATTACTATCTAGTTCTTTCAGTGACCTTTATATACAATAAATAAGACAATTTTATGGATAGATACTTCTAGAATATTTATTACTTCAACGTTTCAATGTGGTTCTCACACCGTCATCAGGAATATAATAATGGGTACCAACAATAAGTAACATTAAGAAGCAACAGTTTTTATAGATAGACATACAGGTAACGTTATCAAGTGTATTTATTATTGAACACAATATTTCATTACACATACAGGTAACGTTATCAAGTGTATTTATTATTGAACACAACGTTTCATTACACATACAGGTAACGTTATCAAGTGTATTTATTATTGAACACAACGTTTCATTACACATACAGGTAACGTTATCAAGTGTATTTATTATTGAACACAACGTTTCATTACACATACAGGTAACGTTATCAAGTGTATTTATTATTGAACACAACGTTTCATTGCACATACAGGTAACGTTATCAAGTGGTTACAATCACTTGATAACGTTACCTGTATGTGTAATGAAACGTTGTGTTTCAATAATAAATAGAAGTCTATATCCATAAAAACTGTTGTTTCTTAATGTGCTGTGATACTTCTAAATGTCTAACAAGGATTGATAAGTAACAAGTATATATGTAGGTATACAATGTTTTCCATTTCCTTAATTTTAATTCCTCTCCAATTACTCAAAGACTTCCCACTACTTCAATTACATATTCTCAATTATTCCCATGTTCATTCCGATTACCCTTACCAGATCGGTTCATTGCTGTTAATTCCAATAACTATCTATTTCTTTCAGTAACCTTTGCATATTTTGTTTTCCGTTTCCTTAATTTTAATTTCTCTCCAATTACTCAAAGACTTCCCACTACTTCAATTACATAGTCTCAATTATTCCCATGTCCATTCCAATTACCCTAACCAGATCGGTAGCAAAAGACACAGTCATTAGAATTACCTGGTGGGCAATTAAAACATTTATAATTTCTATTTCATGTTCAATTTATTTTCAATTTTCAAATTCTCAAGTGATAGCACTCCGTGGCCTACTTAAGGAATGAACAATGCGTTTTTAATTCTCCTGCAAGAGGGAAAATGTAACAGTGTTAGTAATTTACGAGACGGTAATCGATCAAGTGGTCTGTGGGGCGTTATAACTAGATTAATCCACGATTTAGAACATTTTTATAGAGAGGCAACGTCTTCAACTCATCACAGGGTCAGTCAGCCGAAGTTAAGGTATCATCCTTTTCTTTTGTGTGTCTGGAGTATATAGTATACTTTCGATCTTGATTTAACAAGTAGTCGTCAGTATACAACCATTGATCAACAATGAATTATCTTACAGTTCATGTTAAGCTAAGATCCCATATACGCGTCATGCGGATGCGTCATGCGGACATAAATGGCCCTTGCGGATCCGTCATGCGTCAAATATGATTCCATATGTGCGTTAAACGTATGCGTTATCTTTCTTTTGACCCACGGACTTCTAGACAGATGGATGCTTGGTGCATAAAAAAAGACAGGGAATCCCCACAAAATACGTCACATTTGGGAGATCTCCGCGCGGAAAAGCGTCCGGGTGCGTTTAACGCATGACGGAGACCATGTGACAACCATTTCGATTTTTAACGGATGACGCATGATGGATCCGCATGAAGCGTATATGGAATCTTAGCTTTATTGTGAAGAGATTGTTCGTAGTCAAACTTTTACATTGAAATATCGTTAAAAGTCTTGCTAATGACTGGAAAGGTCGACACTTGCGGCTACTATCAGAATTTCGTTTCCCATATAGATAAAATAATAACTTTCAGAAAGGAGACAAAATATGTTATTCCTCCTTATTCTTCCTTATGTCATACAGTTCTTCTTATAAAAGCGGCTCGGATCGATCTTTACCTTGGTATTTTAGAAATGAGTTAGGATGGAGTTTTACGTTCTTCTTTTCTGCACCATGTGGGCTAATGAAGACGGGCAACGCCATGCAGGGTGCCATGAGGGAAATTTTGCCAGGACAGCGGCAAGAGCCTGCTCTTTTTCGATTTCCAACTGTCGAGGGATCTTTAACATGCACAGCCTGTAGCACACGGGGCCTCGGTTTATTGTCCCATCCGAACGACTAGACGCTTTTTCCATGTCAGCCCCTCTTACCTGCATCACTGACAGGGGGAACTCGGTTGAAAAATCCGAAAGGTATTATCTCGACCTATGCCGGGATTGTACCCTGGACCTTCAGGTTACTAACTCACTGAGCCACCGCGGCCCCCCTTGGTTTCTTAGAGTACAGATAACTGCGAAATGGCTGTTGCCATAAGTTGCTAGATACATGAATAAGTAGTTCATGCTTTATATTCTATCAAAAAAGCTTTTCTTGTTTGAATAAGATATGGCCATCCTAGCCTCGCCATGTTGCCAATATTTGCGATCATACAGTTAGTTGGTCGCAGTTGTGAGTAGTTGATCTTGATATCAGCGTTTCACGTCATCGATATCATGTCGAATACGATGAATGCGAGGAAACGAATTGAATCGCCAGTCGACCTCGATATAAGCGTTTCACTCACGTCGACTGCGATGGATCTAATGAAATGATTTGAATTGCCAGTCGACCTCAATATAGGCGTTTCACTCACGCCAGCTGCGATGAATCGTATGTGATGATAACATTCGCCAGTCGACCTCGATAATATGAGTGCTTCATTCACGTCAGCTGCGATGAATCCGATGTAATGATTAGATTCGCCAGTCGACCTCAAGCCCACCTTTATCCACCATCTGTGTTTATTTTTTGTCTACAAGCTACAAGACGTAATTTATTAACTGAACTGGAGTTTATCATTAAGTATTATTGAACCCCGACTGGCCTAGACACATAAATCTTTCTCTTCATTATGTTTTTATTTTAAAGAAAAATCCATCTGATTTCCAATAAGTCTCGTCAAAAACATTACTTTAGTTGAAAGAATTTTTTTTTTCTTGAAAGCGATTCATAAAACTATCTTGATTTACCCAGGGTATACGAGTCTAATAATAAAACTGATTAGGTGATATTCAGAATATTTAGTTTTTCTACTAATTAGACTATCATTTTCATTTTGAAAAGAACTACGGAAAATTGTCGTGCATGTGTATAAAGGCCTAATCATACTGAGCGCGACCGCGACTGCGAACGCGACCATTGCGACTTTTCGCGCGACCTTCCGCACGGATCATCGTTTGTATTGAAAGCGGCGTTATGCGCGTAAATTCGCTGTTGAAACGAACTCAGAGTTAACTGGCAGACAGGTATGAACTTTGGCCTCACACTCTGATTGGCTAATGTAAATAGTTCGCGCGATCTTTTCCCAAAAATTCGCTCTAGAGGCAATCTCCACGGTTTTCCGCGCGAACAGAAATTCGGCCGCATTCGCCCCTAGAATAAACGACCTCATACAAAATCAGGTTAAGCAATCCAATGCAAACGCCGCGTTCGCGTTCGTGGTCGCGGTCGTAGTCGCGCTCAGTATAAACGGACCTTAACTTATTCCGTGCGTTTTGTACGATTGAACAGTATCAGCTGGTAAAACGATTTATAGGAAGTAACATAGACAGCTGAAATTGAACTCTATCAGCTCGTAAAACTAATTTTGACAAATGAAAGTCTTGAACAGCTGGTGAAGCAATATAATATAGGCGACCACATCCCTTTAAAACACCATTTCTGGCTTTTTTCCCTATTTGGCGAGACTGTCGTGTTGAATAAGATGATTTGAAATGGACTAAAGTCGGATATAATCGCAGTATGTTTCAGACTGGCTAATTCTCTCTCATTTTAAAACACGATTTACTGATTTCAAAAACAAACAAAAATCTAATAACATCTTTTATCAAATCTTTTCTATTGAAATGTTGACATTACTGAAGTCTTGTCTGCATCTTATCAAAACAGATTAAATCAGTTGTAAGTTTTAAAGGGATACTACAATTTTAATTTTGCTCAAATTTGGCCAATAACAGAGTATATCCATCAATGGACAGGCTGGTAATTTTTTTGAACTGTTGTTTATCAGAGCATCTAGTCAGACATTTTGCGATCTTTTAATTCCAACAAAAACTAAGCGCTCTACGACGTCACTATCGCACAACACTGCATCTAAAATCCAAAGGTCTTTGCGAATGTGACGTCATAAAACGTTTTTTTTTTTAATTAAAGATGGGTATCCTTATTTTTTAGTGTCAAATTAAGCAAGCTATTTGATTAATTTAGCTAAGTATGAATTAATTATGGATATGTGAGACAAACTGGTATTTTTCCAAGCCATTAGAACACCTCTACTTTCTATTCATATAAGTATTAAGCATTTTGATTTTAATAAATAAAAATGAGAGAACCCATCTTTAAAGAGACCTACGGAATTTTGGCTGCAAATTGAAATTTTGAAAATCGACGCTATAAATGTCCCCAATTCACTTTAAATGTTTAGAATTTAGAAAACCTCATTAGAATCCATAAAGGCTTTATATATATTCCCAGATCGGCGTTGGTTGCTGTAATTTAAACTAAACGCGATTTTAGCGTAGGTTTACCCATCAGTAACACATAATATAACTATTTGACTACAATGGTATTCGCGATAGTGACGTCATAATATGCACAAGATTTGCTGAAATAACAAACATTTGAGGTTCCTGTTAATCCAGAAAAACCTGGACAAATTTAGTCAATATTCCAATGATCATTTGACTAAAATGGGATAGTGTCAAGTTTTGCTGAAACGACAAACATCTGTGGTTATATACTGTCGTTGGAAATGAAATGAAATGGATGGAGTTTTACGTCCTACTTTTCTGCACCATATGGGCTAATGAAGACGGGCAACGCCATGCAGGGTGCCTTGAGGGAAAATTTGCCAGGACAGCGGCATTAGCCTGCTCTTTTTCGATTTCCAACTGTCAAGGGATCTTTAACGTGCACAGCCTGTAGCACACGGGGCCTCGGTTTATTGTCCCATCCGAACGACCAGACGCTTTTTCCATGTCAGTCCCTCTTACCTGCATCACTGACAGGGGAAAACCGGGTTGAAAAATCCGAAGGTATTATCTCGACCTTTGCCGGGATTGAACCCTGGAACTTCAGGTTAGCGAGCATGCCTCTAACCCACTGAGCCAGCACGGCTCCTATACTGTCGTTGGAGGCAAACAGGACCAAATTTAGTCCACATCTGCCTCTATTTCAGCCTCTGGTAGCTACTTTGAAAGATAAAGGTTGAATTACCAGTTGACAACTGTCAAAATAGCTATAAGAGCCTGGAAAAGAGGCAGATGTTTCGACCAAGACCAGAATTTGACTGAAGTGGTATTTGTCATTAACTTGTCACGATTTTCTGACATCTAAGGAACCACGAATGTTGGACGTGAAGTAAATATTTGGGGGGAGTGTCCCTTTAAGCCTGTTTTGAAAGAAATGAAAGCTTTTTGTTAACAGATGAATATAAAATGTTTTCTTAAGAGTAAAATCAATCAAAATGCGGGATACTTGAAATAATTACAACACAGCAATCGAGAAGGTTAGTCGTTTTTTTTAACTCGAATATTTCTAATTGACAGGCACTTAACCTGGTTTGGAACTAAAAAAAAACACAAACCCAAAAACCATCATACATTTAAACTATTAGGCGATTGGCCAATCCCAAATCACAGAGTGGTACCATGGCGGTTTACCACCTAGGGTAGGCTAAGCTGAAGTGCAAAGTGCAAAGTCATTCGAGTTCATTTTCGTAACAATGTTTCAAGAAATTCAAGAAATAATTTTCTTACATTCGTTGTTCTTTACCAGGCAAATTAAAAACAACGACTTGGAATTGCATATTATTCTATTTCTAGCCATTCCAATTAAAACTAGCTTACAATTTCGCTTCATTTGTTTCTAATATTTTTCGTGTGATACGTGATATGTAGCAGAAATGAAATGAAATGAATGGAGTTTTACGTCCTACTTTTCTGCACCATGTGGGCTAATGAAGACGGATAACGCCATACAGGGTGCAATGAGGGAAATTTTGCCAGGACAGTGGCATTAGCCTGCTCTTTTACGATTTTCAACTATCGAGGGATCTTTAACGTGCACAGCCTGTAGCACTCGGAGCCTCGCTTTATTGTCCCATCCGAACGACTAGACTCTTTTTCCATGTTATCCCCTCTTACCTGCATCACTGACAGGGGGGAAAACCGGGTTGCAAAATCCGAAGGTATTATCTCGACCTATGCCGGGATTGAACCCTGGACCTTCAGGTTAGCAAGCAAGCGTCTAACTTACTGAGCCACCGCGGCTCCCTGATATGTAGCAGAGCAACCAAAACGGTATTAATGTTCTTAATTTGTTCACATTTATGAAAATACGGTTGTTTCTTTCTTCTTTTCTTTCCAAAGCCCCATTTCCGCCACATTGAAAAGAAAAATCATCTTCATTGTTTCTTTCAAATCCTAGGTTTAATTCAGTTCCATTATTCCTGAAGGTAAATTGTCAGGAAGCAATAACAGTCATTACCAGAATCGGACTGACAATACAGAGATTAGCACTTCTTATAAAACTTTGTATTGTCCGAAAATTAGGTGCGAATATTTTTAACTGTGCGTTATTATCATTACAGTAGAAAAACACAATGGGCGAGTTATAATGAGGTACAGTGCCTGATGTGGTGTTACCTACACGAAACAAATAAACTACATATACTACGGGTCTGAAAACGATATGGACTCGAGGTTGGTTGGTAGATGACAAGTTAACGTTCGCTTCCAGCGGATGCTGATATCGCAAACTAGGTAGTTGTTGGTAGTCGTAGTAGTTGGTAGTTAGATTGGTTCAAATTGGATGATTCTGTGTTGTTGGTTTGGTTGTTGATAATTCGTTAGATCTGGTCGGGTCGAATGACATGGCGGTGAAACTCGGCCCTTGCATCGATGGTGTAGCGTGAATTACTCGATCTCCTTCATTCTTCCAAACTCGTTCTGATCATGGTATTTCTTGTTGATTGGTAGTCGAATGGTAGTCGTTGGTTTGGTTTGGTTTGGATAGATTATCTTATAACTGTTGGACTCGATTCCCTTCTTCACATTTCTACTACGATAGCTCACCGTTAACCATCTGGCTTCAGAAGCTTGACTTTCAACAATTCTAGATAAGACCGATGTCAACAATAGCTATCAGGGGTTAGATGATACAACTGTCATTGTAGTTATCAGGATCGGGACCAGAACACTTTCAACACTAGCCATTATAGGCTAGCATAGACATCTGTACAAAAATAAGCATCAGACGACAGATGTAAATAATTACCATCGGCTTGATTGTGAGCATAGCTTTCAACATAGCTATCAGAGGCATAGGATAGACATCTGTACAGAAATAGGCATCAGAGACCAGACAGATGTAAAAAATCACCAACGGCTTGATTGTAAGCATAGCTTTCAACATAGCTATCAGAGGCATAGGATAGACATCTGTACAAAAATAAGCACCAGAGACAAGACAGATGTAAATAATCACCTTCGGCTTGATTGTGAGCACAAGCTAGACACCTTTCAACCATCAGAATCTGGATAATGTTCAACAAAAGGCTAAAGCCATTGGTTTCGAAACAAATGCCAACAATAACCATCAGATACGTGGAAACTGTCAACACTAGCCATCAGATATAACTCAACAATAGCTATCAGAAGCTTGACAACTTACTGTCAAAAATGACAAGATATTACATGACAACTGTCAAGAATAACAACCAGAGGCAAAAAATAGGTAATAGCCATCAAAGGCTTGACAACTGTCAACAGTCGACATTAATGATTACACTACTGTCGAAAAATAGTCATCAAATGTCACTGGACAACTATTAACAATAGCCATCAGAAGCTTGACAACTATCAAAAATAGCCATCAGATATTACTAGAAGCAATCGCAGAATAAATAAGTCAATAAGCTTCGGACTAGTTATTATACTATTACAGATTAGCCTACTATGTGAAAGTAGCTTTCAGGCCTTCAGATGACTTGTATGTCTCGAGCTTTAGGCTACAACTTGTTTACAGACTAGAAATGCCAATTATAGTCTCGAGCATCACATCCTTTCTTCTCGTAGTCGTGATTTCCGACAAGAAAATAAAAACATATATTTTCAAATTGGCCGCCGGGTTTTGATCTCGATCTTAAAGATTCCATCAAGAATTTATAAAAATATAATCCTCAACACGGTCGAGTGACGAGCACACCTAGGTGTAAATTCAAGGTTTTTAATTATTTATTCCTTGAATTATCACCTAGGTGAAAATTAACACCACCAGCTCAACTGAAACGTTCTCATGGCGCTATACTCTGCAATCGAATTCGCACCTACGGTCCGACCCCTTTTGAATAAATTCGGCTTACTTCACTGGGTCCCCCCCCCCCCCCCCCCCGCATTGAAAAAGCGATCTGCGCCCCTGGTATAGATTGCATTGTGTGACATGGACAAAATGCCATCCTCAATCCATACCAAGAAATTAATAAAAAGTTCTGAAATTATCGACCATGCCAGATAGAGCCACATTTTGTTGAAGAATTAAAAAGAAATAAGAAAGCTTCACCTACCTGGCGCCGTTGACACCCATTTCACCTGCAGTTAGATGGGCGTCACGTCAGCATGCTGCTGTCAACTGGTAGATTTTGTTTTAAAATATTCCAAACCTAAATCATAAATCTAAATTATATTTCCATTTATCCCTCCAAGCATTCAACAAAACCGATAATCAAAGGAAACTGCGAATTATTGAAATATAAGTGTTATTAAAGATGACGTCATGAGTATTGTCGTCTGCTATTCTCGTGCTTGTAGTCCGAAACATGCCGACATGAAAATCTGAATGATCTGTTCTTTGACAAAGTCGACTAATCCGAAACTCGTGGACACTTTGCTTCTGATATGAATATGGTCGTTGGATGAAAATATTATAATAGTTTGGACGAAGGCCTAAGTATTGAAGAAATGAAACGGAATGGTGTTAAATTCAGCCCATAGTCCATAGATGGATCCCCGTCGATCCCCGATTTGGCTTATGAGGACTATGCTCACGTTAAAGATCCATCGGCAAATGGTAATGTGCCATTGTTTTGGCAAATTTTCCTCACTGCACACTGTAGGCCTATGACTTTCTTCGTCTTCATTTTGACCTCTGATAGGCCCTAACTGTCACGATATCTCGCATCCAAGACCCTGAAAGTAGCACGGGTACTTTAAATTCTATTTTATTTCTTGTTATCCGGCCTGCTAATAGGATTTAAAAAATAAGCTAAACCGGAAGGTCTGTGCTAGCTTGGAAATGGAAAGTCACGAATACGACTTTGTATAGTTCTATCACTTACTTCAGTACATACATACTCGATTCCGGCATTCCCCAACATTCATCAAAGCCCATGCAGGAATTGTAAGCAATTATTGCTCTAAGCGAATGATTAAAAAACAAAGTTTCATTTTTCGGGCATAAGTTTTGCCTCTATCAATCAGTCCCACTTTGTCTGCTAAAGAAAATGAAAATGAAATGAATAGAGTTTTACGTCCTACTTTTCTGCACCATGTGGGCTAATGAAGACGGGCAACGCCTTGCAGGGTTGAATGAGGGATATATTGTTAGGACAGCCGTATTAGCCTGCTCTTTTTCCATTTCCAACTGTCGAGGGATCTTTAACGTGTACAGCCTGTAGCACACAGGGCCTCGGTTTATTGTCCCATCCGAACGACTAGACGCTTTTTCCATGTCAGTCCCTCTTACCTGTATAACTGACAGGTTGAAACTTCCGAAGGTATTATCTCGACCTATGCCGAGATTGATTGTCTGCTCAAAGAAGTGTCAGATCAGGGTGGAAGTTCAGTGCTTCAGACGTTAAAACTTGCCATAATCATGCAAATATCCACTTAGAATTAATGAAGTTGATAAATCCAGTGGGTGGATCAGGTCTGGAGAGTTCACAAAGTAAAAAATCAGTGAGTAGGTCAAATATTTCCATTATGATATTAATCTGGATGCCATCTACAGACAGGCCGACTAATATCCCGGGGGAGGGTCACACAACAATGAGTATATAGTTCCTTATTATAAAGAAATTCAGATATAATGAAGTTTTACGTTCTTCTTTGATTCTGATTATGGAGAAATGAAATGAAATGAATGGAGTTTTACGTCCTACTTTTCTGCACCATGTGGGTTAATGAAGACGGGCAACGCCATGCAGGGTGCCATGAGGGAAATTTTGCCAGGACAGCGGCATTAGCCTGTTCTTTTTCGATTTCCTACTGTTGAGGGATCTTTAACTTGCACAGCCTGTAGCACACAGGACTTCGGTTTATTGTCCCATCCGAACGACTAGACGCTTTTTCCATGTCAGCCCCTCTTACCTTCTGGTTATGGAGACGAGAATTTTGAAAAGAATTTACATTTTTGAGAGAAATTATTTCTGCTCACTCAGTCACACTGTAAATTTGGGGACATTTTTAGTAGCAAGGCACTTTAGCGTTCAACTGTTTGCTTCCACGACCCGACTAGTAACCTGCTTTGGAAGACTATTATGTCACTATGCAATTTATCTGAACAGCGATCTCTTTACAATTGGAGTAATAATTTTTTGGAAGAAATCTAATCGGGAGAAAAGTAAATCCTCGAACAATCAAAATCAAAAACGAGAATATCGGGTCGTGGAAGCAATGTGCGAGATGTGATAAATCTCATACAACGTCAGAGTAGCAATTTTAGGGAGCACCACAGCCCCCCAAAAAAAACACCCCTTATCCAAAAACATCCCCGCGCCGCTCGTTTCATGGGTATATTACGGAGCCCCTTAGGCGCAATTTTCCGTACTTTTACGTTATTCGCTATTACGAAAAATTAATTCGTTTAAACGAAATAACGTCATATATTTCGTTTAAACTAAATATTTCGTTAACGAAATAATTATTTCGTTTAAACGAAATAAAAATATGTATTTCGTTAAAACGAAATATTTTATAAAAGTACGGAAAATTGCGCCTAAGGGGCTCGGTAGTATATAGCCTCGAACTCGATATTAGATCTTTCATGCTGGACAGGTGCTACGTGAATACATTTTTCATTTTCTTTTCGTTTCAGTGATGTCACCTATCTATATTGAACTATTCTAGTAATTATTTCATGACTGCCACTTTTTGTCAATTTTCTCATTTCCCCTTCTGTTTATTGCTGAGTTTTTACCTTTCGAAATCTATTAGCTGTTTCCGGGAAACGCTCGTATTTTTGCTGTAAATTATTTTCTCTCGTAAAATATTTTCAGTTAGAATTGCCTTTCAATCGGAGAATATTCCGTAGAATAAATCTTTCCTGTTTTTTTATCACTAGTTATATTAGTCTTAAATTTGTGGAGTTAGGCCTACGCGTTTTCTTCTGTATGTTTTTCTGAAACTACACGGTAGTTTCACTGTTCTGCCATAATTGGAAAAGCAACTCAAATGTTCTACTGTTCTGTAAGCTACCTGGTTGGACTAAATAAATAAAAAAAGATAGTGGACCACAGCCATATACGCCCACCACGGAATGCGGATGGTAAATATTCAAAGATTTTGGGGCAAGGGCAATAACTCTGCTTCTAATGGTCGAAAATAGCTCAAATTCGAACTTGATCTTCGTTTTTATGTATACACATACCGCATTTCATTTGATTCTAGTTTTTACAGCGTTTACATGCAAATGTTGACGGACGGACGGACGGACCGACGGACAGGGGTGCCGACAATATACGTCCACATAGAGAGATGTGGGCGTATTTTAATACAAATTTTATAAAGTAATGACATAAAGTGCAGCTCCACAACCTACATTTCTTCAACTTTACGCGATCGTGCTTTAATTACGTCAAATAGATGAATTTACACAAAGAGTTTGGACTGCTGCAGAGATACTGATCCATAATTATCTTTAAAGATGGGTTACCTTATTTTTTAGTGTCAAATTAAGCAAACCATTTGATTAATTGGTGTTTCTAATGAATTATCATGTATTCTTAATCATATCATTATGTTCTTATTGCATACAATTATGAATTTTAACCAATCATAAATGTCCATGTATGTACAGTCTGGATAAATGAGAAAATATTTTTTGACCTTTCTTGATCGGTCACTCATTAGAATTCTGCTTGTAATTCTCTTCTAATTTAGCTAATTATGAATTAATTATTGACATGTGAGACAAACTGGTACTTTTTCTCAGTAACAAGGGCTGTAACTAAGGAAATATTTGTTGAATCCTACCCATATTCAAACATACTGTATAATAAAGTGATACTATGTCTTGGAATTAACATAAAATTGAAGAATTTTAAACTTGGTGAATAAGAGCCAGTAGATATACCTGGTGTCATAAATAACATAACAGGATCCTTATATAATCCGATAAATCCAAAAAACTTAGTAATTATCCATAAATATGCAATTAACTATTGAAAAACGCTTAATATCAAGATTAAGCGTTTTACAATAATTACTTAGTTTTATGAATTTTCCAATTTTCTAGATTTTACAGGGATTCTTTTGTAACTTTATGACACCTGATGAATATATACTCATATTGACCATTTCAAGAACTTAAATTTTATGTTCATTCTAAGATGTAGTATCACTTTAAGAGCATGTAACGTTCTACAATGTGGGCGTATAAACACAGTGAGCAAATACGTTAAAAACAAACAAAAGTTTAATATATTGGAATACAAACAATTAAAAAATAAAATGTAAAAAGTGGACATGGATTATTTTTTTGTCTAAAAACATTAGAAAATATCACAGCTAGTTAATGTAAAATAACAGAGAAAACTGATATTAAAAAAATATATGATCTATAAATATACAACAGGAGAGAGAGACATTTTTTGTTATTCATTACAAAGAAATTGATGAGGCACAAGTTGAGAATATTTCTATCCTCTCATTGTTGTTTTTTCCTGTTCAATAAGTTGCTTACTTAGCACATATTTTGAGGCTCTTCTATGTCATCCAATCTTTTTGCCCCTGACTGACAACACCATGTAGTGTGTAATAAGGGAAAATCTGGCAGGACACATCTACTTGCAGATAAGTGTACATAAACTGGCTTTGATTTAAAAAAATAACCTTTTAAGACCAATAATAAGGGTATGTACGGTAGCTGAAAATATGAACAATGAAATAATAGTAATGCATACAACGGAATTGTCTTTTATTATTGTCTGATTATTAGAAAGGTACCGTCTGTAGAATGTGGGTCACTGAGCTATAAATAGTAACATGTGGCACATGTTAAAAAATGTCGAAACTCTGAGTGCTCCGACACTCTCGCTAATCCGACATTTTGTTGCGGTCCCAGTGTATGTTGGATTATGCAGAGTTAACTGGATTAACATTATATGGAATGGTTGAAATATTTTCTCAAAATACAAATGAAAGAACAAAAGATAGTGGACCATAGCCATATACGCCCACCACGGCGTGCGGATGGTAAATATTCAAGATTTTGGGGCAAGGGCAATAACTCTGCTTCTAACGGTCGAAAATAGCTCAAATTCGAACTTGATCTTCGTTTTATGAATATGTATACACATACCGAATTTCATTTGATTCCATCAAAAAATCTAGTTTTTAGAGCGTTTACAAGCAAATGTTGACGGACGGACGGACCTTCGTTTCATGAATATGTATGCACATACCGAATTTCATTTGATTCCTTCAAACACTCTAGTTTTTAGAGTGTTTACGAGCAATTGATGTTGATAGAAGCACTCACTGTATAGAGGTTAAAGGGCAATAACTCCTCAAAACTGAAGTAAGAGGCCTAAATCTTGAAAAAGCCTTATATTTATTCAGAAGTAAACTAAACTTTCTCAAACCTTTCGATTTAGGTCCAATAACATCCATTTTAAGTTTCATCAAAATCGGTTGAAAACTAAGAGTAATAGCATATTCAAGATTTTGGGGCAAGGGCAATAACTCTGCTTCTAACGATCGAAAATAGCTCAAATTCGAACTTGATCTTCATTTTATGAATATGTATACACATACGAAATTCATTTGATTCCATCACAAAATCTAGATTTTAGAGCGTTTACATGCAAATGTTGATGGACGGACTGACGGATGGACAGGGGTGCCGACAATATACGTCCACATAGAGAGATGTGGGCGTATAAAAATGAGCAATAATATCTTGAGTATCAAAATAATAATAGTACAAATTGAAAATTTCTATCATAAAGTCACTATTTATAAAAACAAAATCACAGAGTTGCAATCAAATTGTGAAAGCTTTGCTTTCGGGGATTTTCGGGGAGGTCTTAAAATGTTTAAGCCACATATCTATTATAGAACCTCCCACCAATTAAATCAAGAATTAAAAAATGAAGTACTAAATTCGAAAAATTATTTGCCTTCACAGCTGAATTTCAGCCAACAGTGTCACTATTCAGAATGAAAATTCAGGTTTGCCAGTAATTAAAGCAAATTAAGTACTTACACTGTTGGAATGAACAGATTTACACTGTTGGAATGAACAGTCTAAGAGTTATATCGTGGGTGACCGCTTGAAACCTGGTATAACGATATATGACGCGGAATTAATTTTCGAGAAAACACAAAAAACTATTTGTACGCGTATTTTGTTAAAATCTTTTTTACCATTTCTTTTAATGCTATACGTGGTTTCATTCTTTGAAAATATAAACCTTGTATAACAATTTGAGATCTCCGGCCTATTGAACCAAAAACTCGTATAATAATACAGTATACAAGGTTTTTCATTTTCATCCTCAGAAAAGAAACATTGAATCTCGTATAATAATATATTTTACAAGGTTTTAAATCTGACTGTTTATATACGTGTTATTTAATTAGTGCTTTTTGAGTTATTTACAATCAAGCTAAGAATACGAGGCTTTGATCATAAGATCTGCGCTTTTACCAGCTTTCGTATCAAATAGTCAAAATGACCGAATATGGCATATACGAGGTTTCAAGCGGTCACCCACAATATTCATGTGTTATTATTCTTCCATATTGGCATCGTTATTTGAATAAAATTTATCCTTCCATTTTCAGTCTTCTCACCTAATAAAAGTTTCCATTGCATTCAAGATGTCTAATACTTCTTTTTTACACCCGCAAAAAAGATTTCTTTTGGCGTTCGTGTTTTCTTATGTTGATCTGGAACACTGATTTTTCTTCTATCTTGATCATAAATAAATGTTCGATCCTATTAAAACAAAACAAGATAGCTTGCCAGGCAAGGTAACATATGCCCACTACCAGCTGTCAGAAATGATAACAAAATCTATAGTGGCTTAATAATGAATTTTCAAATAATCTTAAAATCATCTGTAAGTCAAGGCAAAAACCTGAAACAATTCATCAAGTTATCATCAAATTCAAACATGAATAATGTCTTATCACTGTACACACAAGGGCAATAACTCTGAAACTGTTCATCATCCGATTATTACCAATTTCTAACTTGACCAAGATCTCATCATGCATATCTAGTTTCATCAAGATTGGATAAAAACTGTAGTCTCTATCGTGCCTAAAATCCTTGAATTTGACAAGTTTTTACTAAGTCAAGGGCAATAACTCTGAAACCCTTCATCCGATTGTTACCAATTACCAACTCGAGTGAGACCTCATCAATATATACATGCATACCAAGTTTCATCAAGATCGGATAAAAACTGTAGTCTCTATCGTGCCTGCAAGCCGAATTTAACAAGTTTTTACTACGTCAAGGGCAATAACTCTGAAACAAACCATCCGATTGTTATTAATTATGAACTTGACTGAGATCTCATCAATATATACATGCATACCAAGTTTCATCAAGATCAGATAAAACTGTAGTCTCTATCGTGCCTACAAGAAATGTGAAGGGACGGACCGACAGACGGGCTGACCGACGGACAGGGGAGACAGCAATATACGTCCACATTTCCATGTGGGCGTATAAAAATGGACATAAAACATACTGTTTTTTCATATAAAAATATTTCTGTCAATAAATGAAAGGGATTGGGAAACAGGTTTATCGTAGCCTATGTTATCTCTCTCCTAAAAAAAACAAATATTTACTGAAAAATAGAAAGTTACCAATTATTTTAAATGAATTGGAAAATTCTTTTCAAAAATGCACAGAAAATTGACTTTGAGCAGGTTTCCTTTAGTTTAGACCAGTTCAATTCTTACCGTTCTAGGCTCAATATCCCATTCGTTACGAAATCTTCTTTCTTTTTTCCTGTCCTATAAAAAAAATTAACAAATTAAATAAATAAAAAATCAAAATATAAATAAATTAAATGAATTAAAAAATTAAATAAATAATAAATTAATATAATAAAATAAAATAGATAATTAATAATAAAATAAAATAGAATAAATAAATAAATAAATAAAAAAAATAGAATGAAATTAAATAAATAAAATAAAATAAATAATAATTTAATAAAATAAAATAAAATAAAATAAAATAAAATAAAATAAAATAAATAAATAAATAAATAAATAAATAAATAAATAAATAAATAAATAAAATAAATAAACTTTGAACACAGAGTTTGAAGAAAATCAATAGTATAAACTCCAAGTATATGAAGTAAATGCTATGTGGGTCGCTAAATTAGACTGTAAAGGAAATATTTAGACAGCTATACATAGCTGAAAATGAGTTATATCAGCTAGTAAAGAAAATATTTAGACAACTGTATCCCTTTTAAACCCAGATCAAAATTAAAATGTTACACACTTACATAATAGGAAACAAAACAAGAAACTGGTATCCAGATTATAAGACTAAACACCAAGATAACACCCACTATATTATCTTTAAAAAATATCACTGAAATAGACACAATATAGTTTGTCATATACCCTGAACTTCAAGAAAAAATACATATACCACTAAAATAATATATAAACAATATTTAAAGATAGCTTGCCAGGCAAGGTAATATACGCCCACTGGCAGCTTTGATTTTAAATAAAAATATTTAGCAGTACCATAACAATTACCAGTATGAAATATTCAACCTGCAGACATACACTTCTTTTGAACTCTTTAGAGCGATACTGAATAATATTACCAAGTCTCATCAAAATCTGTCAAGAATTGGGCCTTCTAGAGTGTTTACAGGCTAAAACTTGAACGCATTTTTAAGAACATAGGCAATAACATTTTTGCGATTTTTCTGATTTTCAATAGGGTTCATCCTTGGGTGATCACAAACACTCACACCAAGTTTTATCAAAATCCATCAAGAATTGTGCCTTCTAGTGTGTTATGTGCTACAAATTGAACCCATTTTCAAGAACAAGGGCAATAACTCATACCAATTATTTTTCGATTTTTCTGATTTTTCAATAGGGTTCATCTTTGGGTGATAACAAATACTCACACCAAGTTTCATCAAAATCCGTCAAGAATTGCGCCTTCTAGAGTGTTTACGAGCGTTTTAAGAACAAGGGCAATAACTCATACTAAATATTTTTCGATTTTTCTGATTTTCAATAGGGTTCATCCTTGGGTGATTACAAACAACCATACCAAGTTTCGTCGAAATCAATCAAGAATTGTGTCTTGTAGAGTGTTTAGTAGAACGGACAGACGGACAGGGTGACGACACATGAAATGGGGGGCGTATAGAAATAATTCAAAGCATATGACGATATAATTTCACTTTGTAACAACCTTTTCACCAGCTTCCAGGGTATCAAGTAACTTTATGGACAGTAGAGTAGCTGCTAATACGCAAATATTTCCACTCTCACTGTATTTGTCACAGTGAACCCTTTGACAAGAAATGCATTCAAATTCGCGTAAACTGCAGTGGGTCACATGGTCACATTCCTGAGCAATATGGCTGCTGTTGAGGCCTTATTTTTGTAACGGCAATCTTTTTGAAATATAATTTATCAATCGGAAACTTCATGAAAAGAATACATTAGACAGTGGTAATATAAGCAATGAAAGATGGACCCACTACAGTTACGGTGATATAAATACATTGGTCAAGGTGCCAAATTGAATGAGCTGCCGAAGACAGTCATGATAAATTTGGCACCTTGCCCAATGTATTCATATCACCGTAACTGCAGTGGGTCCATTGTTCATTGCTTAAATATTTACATTTCTACTATCACTCCCTTCAATAAACCAGTTAGCCAAACTGGCGTTTACTTTCCAATAACTGTAGTTTGTCACGTGACAATACATCGAAAACGAAAACAAGGATTGACCCAAGTTTTTTTACCTAGAGTTGGAAAGCGATTTTGAAAGGGTTTCTAACAAGTATTTCTAATAATGGAATGATAAATATTTGATAATTCTATCATTCAAATAAGACTGTTGATTTATATTGTTAGGGGCGGGGCGATGAACTTGATTGACAGATATCGGTGAATTAAGCAAAAACGGTTTCGGGTATTTTTACAACAGGTTGTATAGCTTACTTAAGGAATGAATGTGGATCTTGTTATCGTTATGGGGAAATAAACGCTGGTTTATCATGTGACAAGACAAATGACCCG